CTGGTGGGCAGAGTCACAGGTTCTGACAGGTTAAACTGAGACTGGTGGGCGGAGTCACTGGTTCTGACAGGTTAAACTCAGACTGGTGGGCAGAGTCACAGGTTCTGACAGGTTAAACTGAGACTGGTGGACAGAGTCACAGGTTCTGACAGGTTAAACTGAGACTGGTGGGCGGAGTCACTGGTTCTGACAGGTTAAACTCAGACTGGTGGGCAGAGTCACTGGTTCTGACATGTTAAACTGAGGCTGGTGGGAGGGGTCACAGGTTCTGACAGGTTACACCGAGGCTGGTGGACGGAGTCACAGGTTCTGACAGGTTAAACTGAGACTGGTGGACGGAGTCACTGGTTCTGACAGGTTAAACTCAGACTGGTGGGCAGAGTCACTGGTTCTGACATGTTAAACTGAGGCTGGTGGGAGGGGTCACAGGTTCTGACAGGTTACACCGAGGCTGGTGGGCGGAGTCACAGGTTCTGACAGGTTAAACTCAGACTGGTGGGAGGGGTCACTGGTTCTGACATGTTACACCGAGGCTGGTGGACGGAGTCACAGGTTCTGACAGGTTAAACTGAGGCTGGGGGGAGGAGTCACAGGTTCTGACAGGTTAAACTGAGGCTGGGGGGAGGAGTCACAGGTTCTGACAGGTTAAACTCAGACTGGTGGGAGGAGTCACAGGTTCTGACAGGTTAAACTGAGACTGGTGGACGGAGTCACAGGTTCTGACAGGTTAAACTCACACTGGTGGGCGGAGTCACAGGTTCTGACAGGTTAAACTCAGACTGGTGGGAGGAGTCACAGGTTCTGACAGGTTAAACTGAGGCTGGTGGACAGAGTCACAGGTTCTGACAGGTTAAACTCAGACTGGTGGGAGGAGTCACAGGTTCTGACAGGTTAAACTGAGGCTGGTGGACGGAGTCACAGGTTCTGACATGTTAAACTCAGACTGGTGGGCGGAGTCACTGATTCTGACATGTTAAACTCAGACTGGTGGGCGGAGTCACTGATTCTGACTGGTTAAACTCAGACTGGTGGGCGGAGTGACAGGTTCTGACAGGTTAAACTCAGACTGGTGGGCGGAGTCACTGGTTCTGACAGGTTAAACTCAGACTGGTGGG